GGAGAAGGACAAGTACCAAATGATTTCACTCATATGTGGAGTATAAGAACAAAGGAAAACTGAAGGAACAAAACAGCAGCAGAATCACAGAACCCAAGAATGGACTAATAGTTACCAAAGGGAAAGGGACTGGGGATGATGGGTGGGAAGGGAGGGATAAGGGTGGGGAAAAAGAAAGAGGGCATTACGATTAGCATGTATAGTGTGGGTGGGACATGGGGAGTGCTGCGCAACACAGAGAAGATTAGTAGTGATTTTACAGCATCTTACTATGCAGATGGACAGTGACTGTGAAGGGTATGTGGGGGGAACCTAGTAAACATAATGTTCTTTCTGTAAAAGAAAAAAAAAATACCCCTAGGTACTGATTAAAATGGGGGAGAGAGTGTCTAGTATAATTATATCCAAAATATTACATGGTGCATACTTACACCAAGAAATCAATCTATTAATTAATTAATTAATCAGCTAAATCTGCTAACCCAAGTTAAATATTATGAAAATTAAAAATAATAAAATCTTCATATCAAGTAGTTGTGTTGTAAGGACAAGTAGCTACATGAAAAGTGGGCTCAGATTTTTAAGGAGAGTTGTCTCTGAATGTAATTTTGGTTTTTATTTTTATCTTTTTTTTGTACTCTGGAACATAAAGTAGCTAGCTGACTTCTGTCTGTTTAACATTAACCTGGATTGGTTGATTAGGTGGTTAAAGTTTATACAAATCACAGATCTGCCTTTTGGTTTAGTTTGGTCTGGTGTGGGGCTTTGAATAGTATTCTTCTTACTTATCTTTGGTTTCTTCTCCTTGCTTTATTCCTTTTTAAATATTTTCCTTTTAAGGAGTTGTAAATAAACAAGATTTAAGTAGGAAGGGTTAGAGCAGCAAGAATGTTTTTTATGTTTTACATTTATAGAGTTATATGACATATGAATCCAAATACTATATTTTAACAGCTAAAGATGAGAGAATATTGTTCAGCCATTAATATTAACTTTCCAACAAAAGTAGGCTCTCCAAATTAAGAAGTTCTGTTCAGTAATATCTACAGAATGCCTGAGGAAGTATGTTCATTGTTTTTCTGATCCACATTTCCCTAGATGCTTGCTTTAAAAAGTGTGACAACATCGCACCCATTTTTGACTGCGGCAGATCTGATGGAGGCCAATCAGCTGTGTAGCATGGACTCTAAAGCAAATATTGTGCACGGTGAGAAAGATAGTTTTTAATAACCTTGAGATTATATAATGGAATGATTTCCAATAACGATTAACATTGGGTGTTGTACTTTATATAGAGAATACTTTTGTATTCAGACATACAGTCTTTAACTCGGTCCTTTGAAAGGTACAACAGTCATTTAAAAATGTGAAACCTAAAGCTCTGCCTCGCTTGCCACATTGGTAATCCAGCTAAGACTGTTTTACAGGCATTCTCATTGTACCAATGGCTACCGAAGAGCATTGGCTTTTAGTCATTTGGGGTTCACATTCCCTTTTGAGAATCTAATGAATCTTCTCTCCAGGAAAAAATTTTTAGGTATAATTGCTAGGGGCTTAGGGATCCCCTGGTAATCAATGGCCCTATGTAATTTATTTATTATATGTAATATGGTTGTTTATTGTAGTATTGATTATAAAAATTAAGTCAAAGCATTAATTGAATGTCAACCATCAAGGGCCCTATGTGATTTAAAGTAGTAATTGCAGCTTCAGTTTATGTTTACTGTGGGCTGTTTGGTAAATGCTTGATAATATTGTCTCTTATCCTTATAACATCTCTAAGTTTAGAAAGATCCTTATTTTACAGATATGAAAACTAAGCTCAGGGAAGTTGAGAACTTGGTTAATTTTATGTAGATAATAGATAATTGAAACAAATTTGAACCCAGTGGAAGGTCAAGAACTCCCCTCAAACCTTTCAAAACCATGGTCTTTCCCTTTATCTGTTTGGAGGACAATTATTTCAAATTTATGTGCCAGTAAGTAATCTTCATTTACTCTTTCACTATAGGTTTGTCAGTCTTGGAAATCTGTCTTATAATAGCAATGAAACATTTAAATGACATCTATGAAGAGGAGCCCTTTAATTTTCAAATGGTCTATAATGGTGAGATGAGATTGGTGGTTTCTTTCTGACTTTACCCCACTCTTTACTTGAAGGTACTAATGTTGTCCTTAATTTCTGTCCAGAGTTTCAGAAGTTTGTTCAAAGGAAGGCCCATTCTGTTTATAATTTTGAGAAACCTGTTGTCATGAAGGTAAGGTTCACTGTTACTGTTCTGCAGACAGGTATATTTTTACATTCAATTTGAGTTTATATGTCGTAGTTCTGTACTTTCATTATTTTTAAAACCTAGGTATTTATCATAGGCATTTTTTTTTCAAAACAGACAAAAATCATCTAAAAATAAAATGTTTGAGTAATTCTGAAAAAAAGGTGGTTCTGTTTTACATTTGGTAGAAATATACTGCCCTCTACTGTCTGTTCCCAGCACTTGCATCCTGAAAGGAACTATTCATTACAGTCTATCAAATAACATTAATATAATCCTATCCTTATACAACCTAAGGGTTGACTTTATATGCTTCACAGTAAGAGGAGACAAAATATGAGCAATGAAAAAACAAAAGAATAAGATGTTACTGAGGTCATACAGAGAAAGGGTTATTAGGGCTTAGGTGAGGCATTAATAACTTGAGGAACTAGCCTACCATTGTCCACTAGAAATATGATGTGAGCCAGATAATATAATTTTAGATTTTCTAGTAGCAACAGAAGTTTTAAGAAAAAAGGTGGAACCTACTTTTATGATAAATTTAACCTAATATACCAAAAACATTTTAATGTAAAATCGATATAGAAAATTATTGATGTGTAGTATTCTTTTGTTTTCATTACGCCTTTGAAATTTGGTGTATGTTTACACTTAGAGTACATCTTAATTCACTAAATATTTATTGGAAAGACTTGTTCCTTAGATTCCATGAAATTTTTAGCTGATTTATATTCTGAAATTGTTCCAAACATAATTTTCCAGTTGACTCAAGGATCAGTTTTGAAATTAACTTAATGAAAATTAAATGAAATGGAAAATCAGTCCCCACATTTCAAATGCTAAGTAGCCCTGTGTGGCTAGGTTACCTTATTGGACAGTGCAGATCTAGAGGACTTTATGGAATGAAACATCATATTTTTTCCAACAATGAACCCATATCCTTTAGTATTCCTTAGAGGCCCTGATAGTCAGAATTTTATTTCTTGTAGCAACCAAAAAGTGTGAGCACAGGACAATGGAATTTCTTCAAACCAACAGGAAAACTATTTAGCATACTGGAGATTGTTTTTTTTTTCCCATTCCTAATGTCCACATCAGTCTGATAGTTATAGTTTGTGGGAGCTGCGTAAGAAAGGGTTCCCCAAGCATGTAAATTCTTAAGAATAATTTTTGGCTACTCATTTCTGCATTTTATTTTGCTGCTAGAAATATTTTAAGTTTCCTCCATTTTATGCAGCCCCATACCTATAGCTCCTAGTATATTCTCATCTTCAGAAATGACGTCAGAACTGTTTTTCTTTTCATCAGAGGAATTTTTATGATACATTAAGAATATATTCCAATATTTTTCACAACTATGCTGTAAGAATAGAAAGCTTGAGAATCTATTTTCAGTATATCAATATTTAGTGGTTAATATGTTGTGATTTAAAGGTTTCTTTTTTTTCATACCCTAATAAAATACCCAAAACAGCAATCAGTGTTAGAAAAGACATAATACTTGAATATTAGAGGTAAGAGGAAGCCAACAGTAAAGAGCCCTCTTAAGGTGGAGAACACAGAAAAAAGGGACAGGTTACAAGCAGTTTCTGTCAGACTTAAGGAAGCAGAACCCTATCCTGTTTCCTCTGTGCCCATACCACTCTGCTAAGTCATTCATTTATTTATTTTGTTTTATTTTTTAGGAGAGCAAGGTACAGGATTTTATTTAGAAATAAAATGAGAGAATAGAGCTCCTGGCTCATGCCAGGAGGGGACAAGAGAGCCCTCTAAGTCATTTATTTTTATAGGATCAGGTGAACAGTCTTGGTGTACTTGTTAGGGGTCTTTCCTGCCTCTCTCTTTTTCTGCAGCTGTATTAAACTTACACAGCTAAGTCATAAAAAAGTAGAAGCAAAATGGAATGTTTGAGTAACCTAGGAGTCAAAAAGTACTGGTCTCATCAGATCTTACATTTTTATAGAGAACTGAACACTCTTCAGTAACTTCAGTATGAGGGCATATGAAGTAGCATGAGGCCAGGAACAAAAATCATATGGAGTTTATATGCAGCAATGCAGGGACAGATAACCATATATTGATGCTGCTGCTTCACCAGCTAATAGGAAGTTTTGTGAGATTGATGAGAGTTGTTTTTGATTTATTGATTTCTGTTAAGTGTTGTTTCTTGGCAGTCTGTTCCATAGCTGACCAAAGCCCCAGCTGTTCTCTGGGTTAATACTGTTGTTTTACTGTCTTATTCAACCTAAATATTTCTTTCCTATTTCAGGCTTTCGAACACTTACAACAATTAGAGTTAATAAGGCCCGTGGAAAGAACTTCAGTAAATGCACAGAGAGAATACCAGCTGATGAAACTTCTTTTGGATAATACTCAAATTATGAATGCTTTGCAGAAATACCCCAACTGTCCTACAGATGTTAGGCAATGGGCAACATCCTCATTAAGCTGGTTATGAATATAACCAGTGACAGGCACACCTCTCTAAAAAACTAAAGCTGTTGTCCTTTAACAAGATAATGTTACATTTTCTTATATTCATAAATGTGTTTTTGTATTTATGGGGAACTGCTACATGTATTTATGTATCTTGGCTGTGTCTTGCCTTTGAATAATGTGCAGTAACATGATTTATAATTCCAGTGATTTAGAATATGTTGTAAGTAAAGGCTCGAACAATAAATGCAACTATTTTAGGGATGAAACTATATATATGCTTATTTAACACTTATGAAGTGTTTACATGGTACATTTAAAGATTGCATTTCAACCCGGCAGCCAGATGTTTTTACATACCTTAAAAAAAGCAGTAAAAACAATGGTAAGAGTTGAGGTATAATGAGTAATCTTTTGCTTTAGTGGTAGGTGCTACAATATTTTCCTGTGCCCATAGAAATTTTGGATTCTGTAACATACCCAGGTCCTATAGGTCAGGAGACTGAGCAGTTTGAACAGGAGGTGGTTAACTTGGAAGAAAAAGGCCAGGAGTTCATACATTTTCTTCTAGATTTCTCAAAGTGTGTTCATACCATCTACAGAAGAATCCATTGTGGGACTTCTTAAATTCAGATTATTGGGCCTATTCTAGGCCAAAAGGATGGCAATTTGTCTTTTTAACTAGAAAATTCCTAGAACCACTCCCACAAATGAGGAGGAGCGTTTGTCAGTGTTAATTAAATCTATTTGTGTTTAAAAAGTAAATCCCTAAGAAGAACGTGAAAATGTTGGTCAGAACATCATCACCTTATAAATTCAGGAACTCCTGAACTAATACAGGTGTGTGTTTAAAATCAAATTTGATAAGAATTAAATGTTAGTGACTTCATTTATTCAGAAATACTTCCTTGCCTATTGTTTTCATGGAAGAATATTTACAAAAAAACAGTCCCTATCCATTCAGTTTAGAATTTTAACTAACTGTCAAAGGCCATATGCAACTTAGGGTATTGTGGATGAGAAGACGAATGCAGTAGTGGCAGTGTCCGGTGTCACACAGGTAGAGAATGACTGACAGACCCTGGAGTTCAACTTCAGTTTGATTGACACCAAAGCCCCCTGCTACTAAGAGCCAAAGTCCAGGAAGGATTCCTAAACATGTATTTTTAAAATATGCTCTAAGAAATGATTTATCTGGTTTTATTATCAGATGTACAATGGAATATAAGATTTCTGTGCCTGAAAGTAACTCTTTAAGTAGTTACAACCTATTCCTTTGCAGACATAGATGTGCCTTCCTGCTCTGTGTGTCTCCAGATCACTGTCATTACTTTTCCGCAGTGTCTCAATAAAATGAAGGCTTACATACTGGTTCTATGTGATAGTCTTACAGAGTCTTAGGGGATTATCTGGGTAGCATCAGTTATTCCTAGAAGCAAGGATTTTACACTTAAGCTAAAATTGTTCCTTTAAAATTTTTTTCTGAACTATTTTAGGGAAGTATTATCTTCCTTAAAGTCACCAACTGTAGAAGCACCTGAAGAACTGATGTGAGGATTGCTTAAGTTGCCATTAAAAGGCTGAGAGCCCTCATCTGCCTCCTAGCTACATAAGAGCTACAGAAGAACTGTCAACATCCAGGTATACAGATTAGAAGTAGCAAAGTGGGTTTTTTGTTTTCAGTACAACAAATATAAAGTAGGTGAGAAAACATAGGTTAGCAAAAGTCATACACATGAATGACATACCTGCGTCATGGGCACTTTCTGAGGGAGGAGCAATGTTGATGTTCCCCTTTCTGTACTCCCTAGTACAAAGAAGCTAAAATATACTTACCAGTTTTTAATCTAACTTCTCTCCTAAATTGCTTCAACCATCATCAATGAAATAAAAACCAAATCGTAAAAGCCCTCGTAAAAAACTTTGAAGAAACATGTAAACAAATATGGCTTAAAGATACTTTCTTCATTTACTAGAAAAGTAATGTCGTTTTTAACAGCCATCAAAACTGAACTCCTTGGGTCATCAGATTGAAAACAGGTGAGAAGTGTTAGAGGCTGCAGTGTACTTTGTACTCATGCTACAGAAAAGAAATGCCTCTCTCCAATTCACATGCACCTGAGTGCAAATGGCTCTGAGAAGTTAAAACCTGTTGGTCTAAACTGACTCCCATAATGCTTTATATGCTGAGTATGTTCTGTCTAAAGAGAATTTGGCAGAACACTCTGTGGAAAATAATTTCAGTCTTTATGGAGATTCAAGCAGATTCCACCACAGTTTGCATTTTCATTTGGTTTAGAAGGCAAGGCAGCAGGTTATTTCAAACTACCAGAACCTAAGCATTGCCCCTTCCTTCACCTTTACCCTAAAGAAGTTGAGAATCCATTGGTGTGAACTGTGACACTGAAGGCAGCAATGTGGGGCTTTCCACCCCCACCTTTGCTTTGAAAGCCACAGGATAAAGGAAAGCCTTTGCAACATAGTAATTGCAACAGATGAAAGCTAGCTTTGATGACGATTCTTACTGATTACCCTAAGTAAAAGTACCAGAATCCTTCCATTTAATTGGCAAACCGGTTTCAGTTAGAAAGTACAGTTTCTTTCTTTGATGACTACTTCTTTTCCTAAGCCACATTTTTCTTTTTCTGTATGAAAAACAAAAAAGTTAACTATGCCAGACAGCCTCTGGCCTCTAAAACTGGCAGGACCAACATACTGGGACTAAACCTGCGCAGACAACAAAGGAGGGAAATGCCACGGTTGATAAGCCTCCCTTCTTTCACCACTGTCCCAATTCTTGCAAATCTCAAGTTAATAAGCCTCAGTATTACAAAGCCACTGTTCCCCTCCTTAAGAACATATAGCTGAAGAAAAACCATATGCAAATCATACCATTCATTTTTTTTTATTTAACTTGGGAATAGGATGGGGCTAGCATACATTTTATTTGTACAATATTTAACAATCACTTACCCAAGGTGGGGTTTTATGGGGCTTTTTTTTTTTAGCTTTTCATTAAATACTTGCAGAAAAAAAATAGCAAGTACAATTTGACAGTAGTACAACAACCTGTGCCCAAAACACTGACAAGAAATACAGAGTAAAGCTAAAATAATTGTTTACCAATATTTTGAGAGGTAACAAATAGGATATGGGTTGAGACTGCATAAAAAATGTACTGCTGGTTGAATATCTGAGGTAAATGATGTTCAATCAAGATGCTACTTGTATCATTTTGCCCATAAATCAGTAAATAATTTTATGCATATTATACCAAATGTTCCTAAAAAGTAATTCTTTAAAAAGGTAAAAAAGAGGAACTGGGAAGTATCTGTGGTGAAGCTTTTTTTTGAACAGTAATCAGTTTATTCCACCAAACTATCATCTGGCTAGGGTTTTTTTCCCCTACCACCTGCATTTTATTTAAATGTAGCTGTTACTTAGGGGACAAAGAGGTTCTTTTTTAATTTAATGCTATATGATCCTATTTTTAAATTCCAAACTTGTTGGATTTTCTTTTTCCTTTTCCTGATTGTATTTTCAAAACATCACCATGAAAGATAGTGCAAGTTCATGGGACCGACAATTGTGAGGCACAGTCTCTTCTGGAATTCACAAGGTACCTGTAATAAACATTCAGACAACCACACATCACACAATAAAAACTTCCTAGCATCTAATATAGATACAAGAGCTGTGCAGGGCATAGACTTTTAATAAAGCCAAACACTGGTTAATCCATCGTCCTATGGCAGTTGATCATAAAGCATTCCTTACAGTGAGATCTGGGGCAAGGTAGAGTGTAAGAGCAGCAGTTCTGATGGATATCAGAAAGGCAAAATACAAGATGAATCATAAGGAGCACCATACACATGAGGAAAAAATTATTGGGGTCTCTGCCCCAAAACAAAGAAGTCATTTTTCTCATTCTTTGATCTTTCTTTCCCTAGCTCAAACTTTTTGTTAACTTGCCCATGCTGCACTGACTGTAAACCCAACATGAAAATGCCCTGCAAAAGAAGGTTTTAACAACACTAGGTATCAGGACAGGTAGCCACTGGAACATTCTTATTTTACTGCTTATAAAAAGTGTTTTTCTATTATATTTCTCAAAAGGATACATGTTTTAAAGTTGGTTAGCTGGAGTTAAGTACAATACCCAGGATTTCTAAAAAGTTTTTCTAAAAGAAAACTTTATGTTGTGAATAAATGGTCTTACAAAATTTATCTCTAGTCCTCACATAAGCCAAATGTTCATCACAATATTCCTTTTTTGTTTGATTTTTTTTTAACTTTTAAAAACAGGATTAAATGCTAAAACAGGTAGAAACTAGTCTTCAGGAGATGAACAATTTTTGTGTATGAACTTTCTCATTATATTCCCATCTTGATTAGTTGCAAAGTGGAACCAAAACCAAATTAAGAAATTGAAATAAGTACTTTTTTAAAACAAAGAGGTGAACTATATTAAAACAGTAATTCTTAGGAATACAGTGAAACCTCCCGTACATACGTAACCAAGAGTATGTGGTGTGTGGCACTCAGACAACAATGCTATTACTCTTCCCCTCCCTGCCTAGAGTCTGTTGACCTACGTATTTATAAATAATAAAATTCCCAGAGAGTGTGTACGTTATATGTAAAATGTAGTGTACTGTGTGGTAAATAACTAGCCATTTGAAGATAATACATTCAGAGTGAGCTCCTGATGGTAACACATAAAAAATTCTTTTATAAAATTAATGTATGGATTTTAAAATGACCTGACAAAAGTACATAGCATAATACTGGCTATTTGTTGGTCAGTATTCTACAAAGTCAGGAAATTAATGTTTTACTTTGGCCTTTATCAATTTGAAGAAGAATCCAATTCTAATGTAATAGTGTTTTGAAAAGCACTTTGGCACCTACCTACCATCAGTTCCATTTCCTTATCAAGGACAAGGCATGAACGATACGTAATATCAGCATTAGTTGTGAAAGCAGTTTGCAGGAGGAGGCTAGGCTATGTTACCCAAATGGACATTGGTTACCTCTACATGTCATTGCATATTTTAAGTTATAATTGTAACTTGTTATCCCTGATTTGTTTTAAAGCAGTAACATCTGAAATCTGTGCTTAAAATTTCGAATCTCTATCCTAGGATAATTCTTTACTTATCACAGATATATCAAATATTACTCTGACAGGATGGCACCAAGCAGAAATATAGTGATAAAGTTGCAAGTCTCAAAGTAGAGAGTGAGGAATTCTGAGTAATGACACTTCCTGAGGTGATTCTAAAACAGTGATAAGAATGTCCCACACACTGTTTGGTGAAAAGAAATACACTACAATTTTACATATATAAATAAGAAAAAAACTTAATTTTTAAAGAATAAAAATTAAGAGCTTTCCAGTGTCACAGCTCAAAAAAACTTAAATCATGCTTTTAAATTTTCAAATATTCCCCAAACACAGCACACCTAAAAAAAAAAAAAAAAAAAAACTTTTAGATTAAGTATGCAATATTTTGGGAACTGGATAAAAGATGAAACTTGAAAACATGGGAAGGGGGAAATGACACCATTTTTTTTCATTTCAAAAAAAGCACTTTTTTTCCCCTTAAATTACAAGCTAGCACAAGAAAGCTAAAAAACACTGCTTTACGAATGGCCACTTACAGTTGGCACTAAGCATAGGTAGCTTACCTTTTTTTTCTTAAATAACACAGTGAATTTCTAATACCTTGTTACAAAACATGGATTGATTTATTCAAATTTTGTTAGTGTTTTCAATTTTATAATTTAGCAACCGTGGAACTGAGGTATACCTGGTTGAGGGAGGTTAAAGTAATGCTTGGAAGCCTCTTTACTGTACCCCACTTTGATGACTATGTACACAGAACAGCAGCACACAAAACATTCACAAGCTGTGTCATTGGCATTACAATGTCATCTATAGAAACACAACAGCAAATGCAGTAAAAACAAGTTACCCTTTTTAAAATCTGAAATGAAAAGTTTTTGTTTTTAAAAAAAAATAGCAGTAGTTCATTTAAGGAATTAGTGTCTTCTCACAGACATTAAGAAATCTGAAGTCAGTTTTCAAACACTTGATTAGCCAGGTCCAAAAGATCCTTAATTTGGAGAGGGCCACGTTTTTCATGTACACTGTTTTCAAAAGTTTCTTTACAGAATCTGCAACTTTTCTCTTAGTCTCACGTCCTTCACTTCTCTGCTGTAGGCAGTGCCGTAAAGTCTCCCAGAGTCACGTCTTTAAACGCCCATCTTCTTTCCAACGAGTCCAGGAGACTTCTGCTCATTTCACACAGAAAATAAACTAAGCAGATTTGTTAGCTTAGCAGCTCCGGTTCAGAGTCCTGT